TGGAGCTATATTAGCTTGAATCCCCATAGTTCCGTCATTTGGACCAATGTTGTGTACCATCCTAACTCGATCGACTCAATTCCTCTACCAATAGGAGATTGACTCCCTCGTGTATTGACCCGGAATGGTGTAGCGATGAATTTGTAGTATGCTATTCAACCTACGGAAAACATATGTCGTCAAGAGATCAATCAAATCGACTCCCTCGAGGATTACCCAGAAGTTCATACGGTAGGAGTGACCCTAAGATGCCAATAATGGGTTTTGATTAAGGGGATTACCTCCCTCCTGGTCAAAACCTTAATTGACATGTAGAACTCATGCAATTCATGAAACCATCCATCAACTAAATAAAATGACCAATTAAACATAGGATTCGCCACATACATCAATATCAAATTAAAATCTAGAACTAGGGTTCTTCAACCTAAGAGAAGAGAGCTAATTCTAGAGAGAAGAGAGAGATTACAAAATAGCTCAAGATCTTCATCTTCTAAGCTTCAATCTTTGACTCCAAGATCAACCCAAGCCTCCAATTAAACTCCAAGATCACTCAAGATCACTTTCTCTCTCTCTCTCTCTAGAAATGCCTCTTTGGGTGCTTTGGGTTGGAACTCCAAAAATAATCAAGCTTTCCAAAAACAATCAAGCTCTCCTTTATCTCTCCCAACTATTGGCTTTTTATACAGCTCGAGTGCAGACATCACATTCAAGGATCACGACAGTGATCTCCACAGGCTGCACGTGATCTTGACTGAAATCGCTATCATTTCATGCCCAACTTCACAGTCTCTTTACAATTATGAAGGCTGTGACTGTGACAATGATTCTGTCCATGAGACATAGCGAGCCTCCTGGAAGTTGTCCAATGTCACCCTCAGCTCCATTTTCACGGCGGCTGACCGTGATAATCTCTCCCAGAACATGATTGGCTCAACTCTAACTACACATCTCAATTGAAGGCCAAGCATAACCGACGACCGAGTGTAGTATAGGGTAAGCAAGCAATAAAAATATCGAACCACACGTCTCCTAGATGTACCTTACTTTGGTTGAGGTGTCATTATCTACCAACCAAAAATAGTGATTAAGAAACTAACCTATCTATACTAACATAACCACTACCCTAGCTAATTACAAGTTTCGAAGCTCTCTTAACTTGAATCCCTCTAGTTCTATCATTTGGATTGATGTTGAGTACTATCCTAGCTCGATCGACTCAATTCATCTACCATTTAGGAGCTAAACTCCCTCGGGTATTTGACCTGGAACGATGTAGCGGTGAATATGGTAGTGCTCTATTCAAATTGTTTCATGTACATTCAAGAATTTGATTCTATAGACTCCCTTGGGGATTACCCGGAACGACATCTGATAGGAGATATGGCTATTTATGTATTCTTTTTAACTAACTACCGACTCACAAATAAAAAATAGGCACTCGATTCATAAGTTTGAAACCTTATTCTAGTGATGTATTTTTTTAATAAATTTGTAGATTCAATAAATCACGATGAATTCGTTTCATTTGTGCAAATTTTTTTAAAAATGGAGTTAAAAATAAGGGTTAATATTTCTGTATGACCTGAACTTTGACCAAAATAAACATCCTGGCCAATTTTTTTGATATATAACATCCTGGCCCGAACTATACATCAAAATAAACAATTTGGCCAGATCCGACTTTTGACCGTTAACTTGGACGGTCAAACGCGTTGACTAATGGTCAACGCGCCATGTCACTGCCAACTCAGCAAATTTCATATATATATTTTTTAATTTACACATATTTCCATTTTCTTTCCTTTATCATTTTGAATCCCATTTTTCTTTCCATTTTCTTTCCTTTATCATTTTCTTTCCTTTATTTCTAGGCCGAGAGAGAATTTGGCATGTGCTGGCTTTCGCAATTGGAAGAGAATAAGGTCACAATTGGGAGGTCGGGGGCGATTCCGCCGCTGGTGAGCTTGCTGGAGAGCGGCGGGTTCCGCACTAAGAAGGACGCGTCCACCGCGCTCTACTTCCTCTGCTCAGTGAAGGAGAACAAAATCAGAGCCGTACAGGCGGGGATCATGAAACCGTTGGTGGAATTGATGGCGGATTTCGGGTCAAACATGGTGGACAAGGCGGCGTACGTTCTCACCGTGTTGGTCTCGCTTCCCGAGGCGAGGTCTTCCTTGGTAGAGGAAGCCGGGATTTACCATTTTTCCCGCTACGCTATTTTCAATTTCAGTTTTGACTAAATTGTAACAAGAAAAGCATCAACACATGGCGAAAGCTTCTTGAATGTCTGGTTTTTGGCCCTTACATGAAGATGTACATTTATTTATTTGATTTTGAAATGTTAAGTGTTGACTTTGATCCGCTGAGAAAAATGGACCACACACACGTTGGGTTGACAGTTGACACGCTGCAAGGTTACCTGGTTGGAGGTCACACAACGTTGTTTTTTACTTTCTTTTACGAAATGCGTCTCTTTTCTAGTTTTTTATCGTCGAGGGCACTAGCATGTGAGATCCACTTGCCTTCACCATTTTGAATCACCAAATATGTTTTACCATTTTTTCCGCGACACTATTTTCATTTACAGTTTTGACTAAATTGTAACAAAAAAAAAAAAAAACATCAACACATGGCAAGAGCTTATTGAATGGCTGGTTTTTGGCCCTTACACGAAGATGCACATTTCTTTATTTGATTATGAAATGTTAAGTGTTGAATCGATATGTGTTAAGTGTTGAATCGATATGACCTTTCTATTATCTTATATTATTAACAAATATTATACAATATACGTGACCACGCCGCGGAGCTCACAACTTACTAGTACTTATAATACGCAAGTGAATAAACTTAATTACCTTAAAAGTCGAATTTCAGTCTTCCTTCCCTAACGCGGCGGCGATTCGCCGCTCGTTTTGGACATTCTAAGTAATTTAACAGATCATATCTATTTTTTATCCAAACTTTTTTCATATTTTTTTATATTATCCAAATCTATTAAAATGCTATTAATTAGCCAATTTTTTCGTAATGCATCAAAATATTAGTCATTTTTACGTTATCGCTAATAATTTTATACCTATTTTCTTTGTTAAAATATTAAAACATTGGAATGTTGACCTAAATGTGTCTCTTCCAAGTCAATATCATGTTGTCAAGTTAATATTACTAACAAAATTGATTATTTAAAAATTAGCATTTAAATAATTTTTACTATTTCGATAGGTTTGACTAATAAAAACAAATCCAAAAAAAATTAGATAATAAATAGATATTACCCTAATTTAACCCATTGCTTACCATAAAGATGTAATTTGCACCCATCGGAACAGCTTTAGTGAAGCAAAAGGGGAACATCGTGTGGAAATTAAAGGGTTAATTGCAAGTTTGGTCACTGAGTTTTCTAAAAATGTTCATGTTTAGTCACTCAAAATATTTAAATTCATTAGTGGTCACTCGAATTAGTAAAACGATCCACGTTCAGTCACTCTCCGTTAGTCTTCGTTAACACCGTGAGTCAATTACTGACGTGGCAACAAAACTTCCGACTCACCCAATTTTAACCCGCCACATCACCAAATTCATCCCGCCACGTCACTCAACCCACCACCTCATTTCCCCCAACCCAACCCATAAACCAACCCTTTAACATCGTTACCCAACCCTCCATCTCCAAACCCACCGCCGCCAAGCAATCGCTCACCGCCTCCAGAAATCCATCCTCTCTCATCCATTGCCATTCTTATCTCCTTGCAGTAGTGAATCCCCTCCCAGTAATTAATTCCAATCCCTTCCCAGCCAAAATCCAACTCTATAAATCCCCCACCCCTTCTTAAATCCAAGAAAAGGAAACCCCAAATTGAAAATCTCAGTTGTTTGTTTTGTGAAGATACATGGTGAATTAGCTTTCTTGTTCATTCACTCTCCCTCTCCGGCTGTCGTACTTCACGACCCCACCTCCCTCTTCTTCTTCTTCTCTTCGCGCTCAACTCATCAAACTCTAGCTGCTCTTTTTCGTAGGTGCCACCGACGATGGCGACCGAGGAAGAATCTGGTGCAAAATCCCTTGAAAGACAGAGAGGGATTTGGACTATGGCGGTGACAAGAGGTCCTCAACCCGCTCTGCTGTTGCATGTGCGAGATCCCCCAGCATTTCCCCGAACGGATTCACCCGCCACAGCGGCGTGAAATTTTTTCCAGCGCCACTCAACTGCAGAATGTTCTTTCAGAAAATGCCCTTCCCGACGCCGATGTGGATCTTCAAGAAGATGCCATTCCCGCCCCCTTCTCCCACCAAGCACATCCATGTCGTGCTCCGACGGCGGAAGGAGAAGAAGAAGGTAAAGGCGGACAACGGCGGAGGGGAAGATAACTAGAGCGAGGAGGTGGAGCTGGACAAGCGATTTGGGTTCTCGAAAGAACTCGCGAGCAGGTCCAAGGTTGGGGAAGAAGAGGGAAGGGGGCAATTTGCGTATGCTTGTTTCGATCAGGAAAGGTGATTGTTTAGGGTTTTAATTTGAGGGGTCGGTTCATGAGATTGATTAAAAGAGTTGGGTAAACAAGATGATGTGGTGGGTTGTCGAATTTTGTGATGTGGCGGGTCAGCAGTTCTGTTCGCCACGTTAGCAATTGACTGGCGGTGTTAACGGAGACTAACGGAGAGTGACTAACGTGGACCATTTTACTAATTCGAGAGTGACCACTAATGGATTTAAATATTTCGAGTGATTAAATATAAACGTTTTTTTAGTAAATTCAGTGACCAAACTTGCAATTAACCCGAAAATTAAATCACGAGAATTTGCTCATAATGATAAATTATTATTAATATTAGTCCTTTGTTTTCTTATGAGATATTAGTCTTTTTCTAATATGCCTCCTCGATCATAATTTACTTTGGCACCTTCCCTACCCAACTAGAAGACACGAAACAAAACCGGGGCAAAAAAAAAAAAAAAAAACGTTACACAAAAATTCCCCCATGAGAAGGTTTACGATCATGTACGGACCACGAGGCGGCCGCCTACCCCGTCGTCGAAACCGACTACCCTACATTGGCCGCCACCGATCACCGACGGGAATGAGCTTGCCGGCACCGGATTGATCGTACGACGGTAAGGCCCAAGCCAATTGTTTAGCATGTAGCGATTTTTCCTCCACGGAGGCAGCGAGAGGCCCTTCGATTTCAGAGACCTTCTCGCCGCGTCGCTCACCGCCCTCACAATCCTCTTCAGATCCGCGATCCCGCCGACGAATACTCTCGGCAGGGAGTCCAGCACCCTCTGGTACTGCGCGGTCGGCCTCGCAATCTCGAACTGCGACGCGAAATCCAGATCTACAATGTACCGCTTCGGCCACGCCGCCGCCGGTGAGAGGAAGACGTCGATGAATTCGTACGTCCCGCCAGTCAAACCGCCGGAGGAGTCCCACCTGGTCTTGCAGATCCCGGCATTGTGGCCGGACTCCCTGAGAAACGACATCACTTCGCGCCGGAGCGCGGGTTTCTGGTTCCGGAGGTGGGAGAAGGCCAGCGCGGCGGCCTTGTTCACCTGCGCCGACAGTAGGTTCCGGCCGGGGTCAGCGGCGAAGGCGATGTCAGCGAAAGAATCGGGGAAGTCCGGGAGCGAGTCGGTCGGTTCGGAGTCGGAATCGTGACCGGCGAGTGATGAGGAGGAATCGTTCTCCGCCTCCTCCTCGAGGAAACCTTGGACGAGATGGGAGAGGCAAGGGGAATCGTCGTCGTCGAGGTCGACGTCGGCGGCGGAATGCTCGCTGCCGCTGCTGGCGTAGCTGAGGTGGTCGTGGCCGGAGATGAGTCGAGCTCTGGCCCTGTCGTCGAGCGGGTCGGTGACTCGCTTGGCTCGGCCGAAAGTGCCGCTCACCATTTTTCAAGCAAAAAAATGATCAGCTTTCCCTTTGGATTTCAGATTCCAAGCTCTCTTTGCAGAATTAGGCGTGCGTGATGAACGAGGGTTGAGGGCTCAGGGGGAAGCATTTTGTTTTTATATATAAAGGTTCATCGTTGGAGGTAATGGATTGGATTGAGGAATTTCTAAGGGAATATTCGCGGAAGCGCTGGGGAGAAAATAATATGATAATATAGAAAATGACAATAAATTTGATTTTGGGGATATCCATACATACTGAGAGGGTTTATTCGGAGGTGGGGTCCTGGTGGCTGACACGTGTCTGACACGTGGGTTATTGAGGCGAACTGCGTGGTGTAAACTGTGGTTTTAGGGGGCACGTGGCACCAGCTTATGGGGGGAGGGGAGATGAGGCCGTTGTTGTAGGTGGACTTGGCGTTGTCTCTTGAAGTTGAGAAAGGGTGAGGCGCGTTACTAGCGCTACCTAGGTTTAGGCAGAATGGTTTAGGATATACCTTACATAACAAGATTTGAACTCTTAGGGCCCGTTTAGTATTGTTGTCTGTTTTTGTTTCCTGTTGTGTTTTTAAAAATTGGAGAAACCAAGAAAAAAAACCCTGTTTAGTTGGGTTTTCATTTTCTGTTGTGAATCAAAGTTGCACAACAAGGACCAAAAATGAGAAACAATAATTTATTGCTTTGGATTTGATTCGTAAACAGGTTGCACACGGGATTCCTACTTGATTTCATTAAAATAGCCCACTCTTCGAATCCCCACTGAAGCAAAAGAATTTTTTTTTTTTTACACTTTAAACCCACCCAAACCCTATTCTTCCTTCCTGTTCCAAACAGCGCCGCCAGCCCTTCATCCTCCCTCAAATGCTTCGGCGACCAGAGCCTTCTGCCGCCCGTGACCAGTAGCCGTCGCCGTGCCAGCGACCAGCAGCCGGTGCCGATTCCCGTCGCCGCGCCAGCCGACCAGCAACCCGCCGCCGCCTGTTGTCCCCCCTCATCGTCGCCGGTCCTCCCCTCACGACCAGCAGCCGCCGCCGCCTGTTGTCCCTCCTCATCGTCGCCGGTCCTCCCCTCACGACCAGCAGCCGCCGCCGCCTGTTGTACCCCCTCATCGTCGCCGGTCACCCCTAATTCCAGGCCGGTCACTTCCCTCGGCAGAAGGTAAAGTCCACTTCCTCAAAGTATTATGTGAATTGAGATTTTTCTGAATATGTTTTGTTTGTGATGCTGCATTCGTTCTTGTGAATCGGTGATTGATTGATATATTCTTTGTTTTGTGTTCTATCTCAGTTATGGAGAAAATTGTTGAAAATGGTGATGTTGATTGTGTGGAGATGGTGATTGTTCTGGTTTTTAGTTCTTATAGTAGTAACTAAACGCGTTTTTGTTTCTTGTTTTCAGTTTTCATGATTTATCAGATTTATCAACTAAACAGGTTTGTGTTTTCTGTTTTTTTTCCTGTTGTGGTTGTATATCTGTTTACACAACACCACTGCAACCACAACAGCAACAAAATGATACTAAACGGGGCCTTAGTTTTGAGTAGGGTTAAACGAGTTCAAATATAAATGGTGAAAATTAATGTTTTTTTATTTATTTTTACTTAAACGGTATTTATGTTTTCCGTTCTAATTTGGATTTTAAATTTTTATACACCGACGAAACGATCGATAGGTCGTTGTGATTTACAAAATGATATCTATTTTCATTATCTTTTGAGGAAAAAGAATTTCATACCACTCATTATCACCTTGATACCGCCAGGTACCAACTTTGTTTTTAACTCATATTTGAAAAAATCTGCACAGAAGGAACGAGTTCGTCGTGATCAATTGGATCAACAAATTTCTAAATAAAAACTAGGACCAAAATATATCACTCATTTCCACCCAGATATAGGGGGTGGTAACTGATGGTAAACAATGATGAATGTGGTAAAATGACAGTTCGTTTTTTCTAATATCATGTATTTCTCTCTCTCCTTTTTCCTTTCTTTCCCCATAAAACTCTTTCCCTCCCCATTCTCTATCTCTTCCCATCCACCCAACTCTTTCTCCAAAACCCATGTCTAGGGATGGCAACGAGTCGGGTCAGGGGCAGATAATGCATATCCGTTACCCTACTCAAAGTGTACGGGTTTTATCCAAACTCACACCCACATAAAAATCGGGTAAAAAATCAAAATCATGTCCATACTCATTTGAGTTTCGGATATCCATGGATAATAATTTCTCTTTATAACTTCAACCAACATGTTAACATTTACACATATAGTCACATTACACAAGTGGAAAAGTACTATAGTAATTCACTAGAATAAACAAAATTGTAATCATATATTATACAAAATTGAATCAATATGATCTTTCTATTATCTTATTGTAAACATATATTATACAAAATAAATAACCGCGTCGTAGAGCGCTCACAGCGTACTAGTTTTTATGAAAGTAGGGGTGGTAATGAAACATTTTTCCTTCTTCTGTATGTTAAAAGTGTATCTGATCACAATTGTATTCATTCAAGCAAAAATGATAAGAACTGTGCCTTGGGAAATTTTATAAACTATCGCATAGAGGATTCACATTGGTCTCCAGCATTAAAAAGCGATTAATGTAGTCATCATCTTTTTTGTAGCTTGTTAATGTTAAGGTTCTCAACATTCAATAGCCTAATCATAGATACAATGCTGTCGTTCATATTATCTCAACTTTACCTACAACGGATTATATGCTTCGAATTGTGGTGGACCTTAGTGGTGTGCTTTGACGCTGCTCAATTAAGAAATGACGTGGCCTTTGATTTATTTGCAAAGGAATATTATCAGAAACTCGGAGTTGATAAACAGTCGTGAAATGGAAGGTAAGATCAATTAAGTAGCGGTAGAAATATAGCTAGCAAGTAGCAAACAAAACACTCTTTTAACTCTCTAATTAAAACTTTATATCCGGACTACTTGAGTCTACAAAAATCACTTTTCTCTGAGAAGCTCAGGAAATTGTTTTGGGTCAATAGCGAATTCAGGGCCACCCTTAGCGCCGCCGCCAGCAGCAGAAACGTCCCCCGCCGTCGCCGCGGCGGCACCATCAACACCGGCGGATGAAGAACTATTGTTGTAATTAACGCCGCCGTTTCCCCTGCCTCTCACACCGACGCTTCCCCTGCGGCCATTGAAAACCTTTTCATCCCCATAGTTTTCCCGCTGATGCTGATAATTCCCGCGGCCACGTCCAGCCCTGGATTGGTTGTTAAACCTCTCGCCGTCGCCATAATTCCGCCGGTCCTGGTTTTGATAGTTCCCGCCGCCGTGGGGACGTCCAGCTGCCCACGTCTTCTGCTTGACAAACTCGTCGATGCCCTTCTTCTGAAACCGCAAGGTTTAAACGATCATTAAACAATCAAAATACCAACTACTCAGTTTCAGTAAAATGCCATAGCCACCGGGTACTGATAATAATCCATTTGAGCTGTTACAATAACTACCTTAATGACGGGGCTGCTGGCCTTCTTCTTCTCTGCCTCTTCTTTCTTCTTCGATGCATCACTTTCCTCCTTCCTCTTCTTCTCCACGAGTTGCATTGATTCCAAATCCTTGTCGACCCTCACTTGCCTTGCCTCGCCGCTTTTCAGAGCCTCCAAAGCTTCCTTCTTTTGCAACTGAAGCTTCTCGTACTCTTTAAGAGTCATCAGTTTCTGCAATTCAATTTGATTGATTGAAGACAGATCAAGTCAATTGATATTCGCCCAAATCATCTTAGAAAAATCAAATTCCCAACCACAAAGGGATTCATCTTACCCTGTCATCCACTCTAGACTGTGCTTCCTTCTCCTTATCAAACTGATCTCCATTGTTGTTCTTCTTGTTCTTGTTGTTTCTTTTCTTCTTCTTCTTGTTTTTATTCTCCTCCCCTTCAGACTTCTTCTCAGCAGACTCCTCCGACCCAGCAGCAGTGGCACCACCATCTCTGTTCAACACACAGACCATCAGTTAGAGAAACCAAGACAAATCAACCACTTAACCGAATTGGAATTATTTTGGGTCGTTAATCGGATAAGTTCAAATCATACCCTTGAGTAACTTCGCTCGTGCTGTCTGCAGTAGCACTGCCAATCTCAGACTTAGCATCCACAATATCAGCAGCAGCAGCAGCATCAATCAGTGGAGATTTCTCGCTTCCATGGAGATCATCCCTGTCGATATCAGCAGCAGCACTAATCGCAACCTCGCTTCCATCGACACCATTGGTATCGTTCCTCTCCGTGCTTTCAGAGCCATTCTTGTTGCTGTGATTCTCTCGATTCTGCCAGCCATTGTGGTATCGGCGCCTGCGATAACCGGAATTGTAAACTCGGGCTTGTTTATGAACATTGCGCCTGGAACCTACCTCCTGCCAGCTATCATCCCCAACATTTGAAGCAGAACCCTGATCCACGACTTCGGGCAGCTGGTTCCTGCAATCTTCCTCCTGTCCAGAATTGTTGTACCCTCTTCCATTTTTGTAGTTGTTGTTCTTCCTATATTGGTTATTGTAATTATAACCAACTCGAGAACCACCCTGATATCCATTCCTATGCTCATAATACCTCCCGCCATTAATGTTGTGGTTGTTGTTCAGCTCCCCATCCTTCTCTTGAGACCCTCTGCTACTTTCTTGTCGGCGCCCATTGCTAACATATCCATTGTTATTACCCTGACGTTCCCTTCTGAGGTTTCTGAGTCGATTCTGACTTGGATATAATAGGTCTGGATTCCAAAAGAGGCAAAAGAATCATTACCCAGAAAAAAACAATCAACAAATTACAGTACCCTTCAACAAAGGGTCAACCAAAAATCATCGATCCGGTTATTACTGAAGAAACTTAACAATTCAATGAACTAGCCACCACGTTGTTCCGAATCAAAGAACAAATAAAATTTAACTAGAAAATTTTTTAACTGGGAATCAGGAAAGAGGGCTTACGTTGCTGAAGATCAAGAGCGGCTTCGTTCTTGGAGACTGCTTTTTGGGCAATTTTTTCTTTCTTGGAAGGCGCAGGAGCAGGGGAAGCCTTGTGGACGAGATTGGCGTTCTCAATGACCTTGGATGGGTCGCATTCTACTCCCTCCAGTAACGAGAAGATGTTGTTCCCAATTCTCGACATGGCGGCGGCCGCTAGCTCGGGGAAAACAGAGACTGGAGGGACAGATTGGAAGAAAAGCCGGACCCCCAAGAAACCCTAGGAGCAGGCAGGGGATGAGAGTTCACGGTGATTTGGGGGCATTCAATTTATAGAGTACGGTGGGTTGGGTTGGCTTGCTTGGGGAGCAAGTAAGAGAACTCCGAGCACCAAAATCCAACACTACGGTAATTGTTCTAGAACAGTCCAATCTTTTCCTTTTTAGTTTTTATCTCCCTTTATTATCTGCTGGCTTTCCGCTTTATTGGCCAACTTTTTTAACCTAGTTGTCAGTTTATTGGCTAACTTTTTTAATTGTACAAAAAAAAAAAAAAAAAAAAAGAGGAAGGAAGTGTTATTGTAAGATCAATGGTAACCGGTTTATTCCAATTTTAATAAAATGTCGATAACAACCAAACGAATTAGTTATGAAGAAGCGATAAAAAAAAAAGTTGATTCACATGCATAGATTATAATTAGAAATTGGTAACTTTTAATAAAAAATTAGAGACATAATATAATATACAAAATAAATTATATTAATCTTTACAACGACCCAAATCATTTGTATGTGTCTCAAAACTACTTGCCCCTGCTCGTGTAATTTGAAAATTTGTAAGTACGTAATATTTGATACAAGTTACATAATTGGTGTATTTTTTAAGGGATTATTTTGTAAGTGCTATAATCCGATATAGAATTGATTTAAGAATCATGATATAGAACTGAGATCATAGATTGGCCCATGTTAACGTTGGTTAGGAAAATGTAGTGAGATGGGTTGACAGGCGGCTTGTATGATGTCTTGAGGATTTTGAGTCCTTCTGCCTCTCAGCTTTTAGTAATGTATATAGGGCGAGTAAGGGTTATCCTGTTAGCGTTGTAGCTGATAAACAAACTGGAACATGTAGTTAATAGTTATATCAATTAATCGATTAAACAGTAGATGATTGGTTTTTAGTAGACAAATTTAGCTAATTACTAACCGATGGTTAAATGGTTAGTAACCGACAGTCAAATCGACTAACAGATTACAAACATCCTCATAGTTATGGCAAAAAATAATAGGTCTCTATGAGCTGCAGGCATAACCAGAAAATAGTGGAATATTTGTAGGCCTACAAGATACCTTGCCTACCCTACTTGTAATAGTGACTTAGGTTCAAATGAGAATAATTTCAATGAAGGGCTTTAGAAGGAGCACAATAGAAAGTTAAACTTGTGTACGGTAGTTCGACAACAATGAATAACTTTAAACCTTCCATGTAATTTAATGGGGTACGAGTCAGTAATTGTTGTTGAATCTCTTATTGTTGTTTGAATCTTTAATAAAATTTGACAGTGGAATGGTGTTATTGTGTAATTGTGTTGAATTGAGTTTATTACAGATTGATATCTATTTTAAATGATTTTTTATTCAATGATAACAAATTAAAAAAAACATGTATGTATGTAGGAAAAGATCTAAAAAAATGCACAATTGAAAAGAGGAGGAGGTATTATGTTAATTAGGTTACCGATTGATTATTTTGGTATAACCTTACTAAATCATTTGCTTAATGGTTATCCGATTAACCGAAAATATAATCGACAACCGACTGTATGGTTATGGTTACCAATAAGTATAAAGTGGTTAACAGTTAACCAAAAACGACTAAATCGTTAGGGTTGTAACTGAACTGATTGCCAGTCCTATAAATATGGAGAGTGCTATTGGGTATCGCATACTATATATATGGGGCAAATTTTAGTGTACGTCTGGCTTATGTTTACGTATGTGTTCACACTCATTATTTGTAGTTCGATATATTTCGAGGAATCAGAACATCTTATTATTATTTTTAGATTAAATGAATTGTTTGATTTACAGATGTAGGGAGTAGGGTTTACCCATTATAATTAGATTTGAGTTAAGAAATCTTATGGTTTGATTCCAACTAACCAAAAAATATTTTATTTTACTTTTGAAGACGTACGTCAATAGACCTAAATTCTCATCGTATAGCAAAAAGGACAAGAAATTTATCTTAACTCAATAGTCCAATTCGAATCTAAAATACGTAAATTAGGTTTGAGTTAAAAAAATCTTATTTAGAAGATACAAGACGTACAGAAGATACATACAGAAATCGGCGTGGTTTGCCGCAACATTCGGAGACTTTTGCATGAGATGGGCCGAGGCTTGTGGAGACATATAAGAAGGACAGCAAACGAATCTCATGTCACAATGCTAGACTAGACTGAACGAGACTTGTATTTGGCTGGATAGACCTCACATTGTTGGTTAATCAGTTATAGCTCGATGATGTAATGGCAAACCACTGATTAATGAATAGTCTTCTGGTTTACCATTATAATTTTTTTTTTTTTTTTTGGTCGAGACCATTATAAAAAAAAATCATTTGGTTGTTACCGATTTCTTTCATGTATTTTAATAAAAAATTAGATTAAGCTTGGTTATATACCATTGCCTTCCCCGGCGATTTCAACTGACAACTTTGGTGAAAATAGGTTAAACAAGTTAAGCCAAGAAGCGGAAAGCCAGCAGATAATATAAGGGAGTTTAAGAAAGGTTTAGAGCATTCTAGAACAATTACCGTAGTGCTGAATTTGTATTTTGGCGCTGGGCGTCCTCTTACTTGCTCCCCAAGCCAAGCCGACCCTACCTCCTCTCTATAAATAGAATGCCCCCAAATCACAGTGAACTCTCACCCCCTGCCTCCTCCTAGGGTTTCTCTTCCAATCTGTCCCTCCGTCTCTGTTTTTTTCCCTTAGCTCTCTGTTTTCCCCCTTAGTCGATAAACCAGTGGAGCTAGCCGACCGCTGCCATGTCGAGAATCGGGAACAACATCTTCTCCTGCTCCTGTGCCTCCCAAGAAAGGGAAAATTGCCCAAAAAGAAATTTCCAAGAACGAAGCCGCTCTAGATCTTCAGCAGCGTAAGCCCTTTGGTCTGATTCCCACTTCAAAATTTTCTAGTTCATTGAATTGTCTGAGTTTCTACATGTAACAACCCAATACAGCTAACGATGATGACGTGTAAAGTTGAGAGGGATGTATAAATAGAAGAACCCATTTGTAGTTGGATATCTTTTGGACAAATTGGAATTCTGTTAGCACTTTCCCCTCTTTTAAGCATAGCTTTAGCTCTGTAGAATAGCTTGTAGAGCAGATTAGCTCATCTTCCTCCTTTCCCTTCTATGTACCTTCTCTGCTCTCCATTGTTTCGCCAGATCATTCAATAAAGATCCTTACACTACAGTAATACTAACCGAGAGTGATCATGGGTCGATGATTTTTTGTTTGATTGTTTGTTAAAGTGCGCTATAGATTGCTGACTGTTTTTTTCCTTGGAATCCAGACCTACTATATTCAAGTCAGAATCGACTCAGAAACCTCAGAAGGGAACGTCAGGGTAATTACAGTTCCAACAGGGGTTACCGCAATGGATATGTTGGCAGCAATGGGCGCCAGCAAGAAAATAGAGACGGATCTCAAGAGAAGGATGGAGAGCTAAACAACTATGGAAGCTAGAAGGCTCCTGATATTGATGTGTCTGCTGATACTGCGGATGCTAAGTCTGAGATTGGCAGTGCTACTGCAGACAACACGAGCGAAGTGGCTCAAGGGTAAGATTTGAACATAACCCATAATTTCAATTCGGTTAAGTGATTGATTTGACTTAGTTTCTCTAACTAATTGTCTGTGTGTTGAGCAGAGATGGTACTGGGTCGGAGGAGTCTGCTGAGAAGTCTGAAGGGGAGGAGAATAAAAGGAAGAAGAAGAAGAAGAAAAGCAACAAGAACAAGAAGAACAACAATGGAGATCAGTTTGACAAGGAGAAGGAAGCACAGTCTAGAGTGGATGACAGGGTAAGATCAATCCCTTTGTGGATAGGAATTTGATTTTTCTAGGATCAGTTTGTTTCCCCATGATTTGGGTGAATACCAAATGACTTTATCTGCCTTCAATTCAAATTCAAATGCAGAAACTGATGACTCTGAAAGAGTATGAGAAGCTTCAGTTGCAAAAGAAGGAAGCTTTGAAAAGCGGCGAGGCAAGGCAAGTGAGGGTCGACGAGGATTTGGAACTCGCGGAGAAGAAGAGGGAGGAGGAAACTGATGTATCGAAGAAGAAGAAAGAAGAGGCAGAGGAGAAGAAGAAGGCGAACTATCAATACCAGGACCGGCGGAATTATAGCAATGGCGAGAGGTTTGACAACCAATCCATGGCTGGACGTGGACGTGGGCGCGGGAATGATCAGAACCAGCAGCGGCGGGCCAACTATGGGGATGACAAGGTTTTCAATGGCCGCAGGGGAAGCGGCGGCGGTGGTGATGGTGCCGTCGCGGTGACGGCAGGGGACGTTTCTGCTGCGGGTGGCGGCGCTAAGGGTGGCCCTGAGTTCGCTATTGACCCGAAACAATTTCCTGAGCTTTTCAGAGAAAAGTGATTTTTGTAGCCTCAGTAGTCCGGATCTAAAAATTTTAATTAGAGTAGAGTGTTCATCGTTAACTCCAAGTTTCTGATAATTCCTTTGCAAATAAATCAAACGCATTTCTTAATTCACCAGCTCAAAGCACAACATTAAGGTCCACCACAAATAGAAGGATATGATCCGTTGTAGGTAAAGTTGGGATAATATGAACACGGGTAATTGACTATAATTGCATCCCAATATTTTAAAGTATAGTACAAGTGCTCCACAAGAAGATGTGTAAAACCTACCTAGTTGTCCCATCATGTATCGTTGAAAGTAAGAATAGATTGTGAGGACTCGAACCACGATCCATCGGGTTAAGGTTTCAATTAGTTTGGAGCCTAATAGATATTCAATGTTTTGCTTTTGTTTATTCGAATACTTTGCTGTTTCTTTCTAAGCTTGCTTAGTGTTCTTCTAAGTTTCTTCTTATTCGTTGCATATTCAGTTAGTTTGCTTGGTCAGTATGTTTCATAGTTTTTTTTGGCAAAATACAGATGTATAGCCATTACTTTCACACTTTTGACAGATATATCCATATCTATTTGAAAACAACAAATAGCCCAAAAACGGAGGGTAGTATGACAAATCTAGCCAAAACCGTTAGAAACTTTAACACCGTCTGCGACTCCGTTAAATCATTTGACGGAACGCTGACGAGGACGGAAACCGACCTCCACATCATTGACACATCAGCAAAACGTACACGTGGCATTCCACGTAAATAATTCCAAAAAGATTATTTATATATGTTTTCTCTCCTGTGCATTCTCCCTCCCAAAAACCCAGATCGAGATCCCTCTTTTGATTTCCCAAATTTGCCTTTTCCCATCTTCCCAAATCCACAGACCCAGCCTTCCTTTCCCCAAAATCCCTTCATCCTTCCGACGCAATCTTCACTCCGTCTCCCCAAACTTGCTCCAAGAGCTCTAGCCGCCACGACGGTGTAGTTCCGGCTGCATTTTCGATCGCCTAGATCTACTATTGCAATGAAGCAGAGAGAGATAGAGAGAGGTAACTCATCGTGAACTGGGTGATTCAATTAGCTCGCATCACCTTCCAGGGAGGCGGCGACGTTAAGACTCGAGTCGGCCACAACCTTCTCTTCCTCCCTCGTCCGCCATTAAACCCAGAAAATCAAAGAAAAACTCAGATCCAACTTGCCAAAGCAGAATCAAATGGAAACCAGATCATTGGATTCCCTCACCTGCAGATGTTGAATTTCATGGCGGCAATCACTGCGATTTCGTCGCAGTTCCAGATCGGGTTCTTCTTCCTGGCTTGAAAAAATCCCTTTCGTTTCTCACCACCGAACCCATCCTCCATAGATGCTGATTGGGCGAAACTCGAGGAAGCAACATCAGCTGCAAGGGGGAATCGATGGCAGATCTAAATTTATTCAGAGCAGTTGGCTTGAGTTTTCTGATTCGGAATCGATGGCAGATCTAAATTCATTCAGAAGGGTTCGATGGCTGCCGCGTCGGTGTCGTTGGGCCATATCCCTGCATCTGTATTCTTCTCTTCTTTTTCGTTGAAGGTAGGGAAGTAGGCGACGGCGGCTAGCGGTCGGAGAGAGCGGAAGAGGGGGTGAGGCCGGTGAGAGGAAGCGGCAGCGGAAGAGAAGAAGATTGGAAGCATCAGAGGCAAATTAGGAGGGAATAAGAGGCGGTGGAAGAAATCCCAATTCAGGGGAAAATATTTTTTTGTTTTTTTTTTATTTCAATTTTTTTTTTGTTAATCCACGTCAGTTAGCAGGGACAATAAATCACCAGATCAGCATCTTCCGTTAGTACAGTCATACTGTCAACTGACACCGTTACCAAAATGGACGAAATTGGCTATTTGTGGTTTTCGAATAGAAATGGCTATATTTGTCAAAAGTGCGAAAGTTATGGCTATACAGGTGTATTTTGTCTATTTTTTTGTTGTTAATTCTTTTGTTTCTCTACAATTCTGGTGTTTCTGGTCATAAGCTCCAATACTAATCAAGAGTGATTACCACTCCCGTTGGGATAAAGTCTAGCGATCCAATAATGCTAGTAGTTGTTTAGTAATAGTTGTATGTTACGACTTACGTTACATGACATGACCTTTCATCTCCATAATTTTTAATAATTTGTTTGGAACTCTTGGGTAGAGACTGTCGTTGATGGCATTTATAATCCCAAAATAACTAAGCTACGATCTATTCAAGTGAAAGAAGAAATATTGAAAGATAATATGATCTCGTTGATCATCCATAATACAAGGAATTTTACGATGCTATATAGTATTGGTGCTATAAGTTTTTTCTTTATGGTACAACTTGAAATTGTACCTTTAACGTTTTGGTACAACTTCAGATTGTACCTATACTTTTTGTACAAATTCTTTTATTATGTGATGGTACAACTTCAAGTTGTAAAGTTGTACCATAACATAATGATACAAATTCCTTTATGGTACAACCTAAACTTATACATTTAATGTTATGTTACAACTTCAAGTTGTACATTAAAGCACCAATGCTATATAGCATAGTAGAAGTGCTCCCATAATACGACTATTGTTGTATTGGTATAAACACTTTTTTTTAGAAGCTTCTACTTTATAATTAAAATGAATGGGTACTTTATAATTAAAATGAATGGGTAATTACAATGAGCGGGCTTATTACAATCCCAGCCTACATACCTCCAACTAACCCGGCCCAAAGTTGTGGCCCTATCATTCACCTCAGCGCACACGTATTCCAACTCAAAAGCTGTCGTCGTCTGAGTTCTAACTAGGGGTGGGCAACGGGAAACGGGTATTTGGGTATACCCGTACCCATCCCGTTTTTAAGGGTTATGGGTACCCGTATTACCCGTAATATTTTAAATGGATGGGACTTGGAATTGTACAGTCCCAATATGGGTACCCGCGGGTTACCCGTTAATACCCGTTTGGGTAATATGGGTACCCGTTGTACCCATTCAAAGACAAAGACAGATTTAAATAATATTCAGCCCAGGGCCCCAGGCCCAGCCCAATTCAAGAATAATTTTCGGCCCTTACCCAATACCCACTGCACTGAGACCGTGAGACGGACAGACGGTGAGACTTGAGACTGAGAGTCGACGCACGCAGGCCGCAGCCCTAGCACTAGCAGCTTCTGCCTTCTGGACGCGCAGGCGCAGCAGCTTCTCTTCTCTGGAGGCTGGAGCTTCTCGGGAGTGAGACCGTGAGAGTCGAGAGAGAAGAGACTCTCAACCTGTCGCCGGCGCCTCCTTGCTCCTTCATTCACCGTCGCCGCCGCCTCTGAGCTCTGCCTCTCAGTCCCTCTCCTCTGCGCAGCCGCCGCCTCCAATCTCCATTCCACTCAACGAGGGTTAGACCAGCAGCGGAGCACTTGCAGCAGCTGGCTTCCTTCTTACCCGGCGCCCGACGGCCAGCAACAGCAGCAGCAAGGTGAATTGAATTGAAGGACTTTCTGTTTAATTATACAATTTAGACTGCAATTAACATCATTCAAAGTAAAGAACTTCTTCTGTTTAATTACTTTTCTTCTATGTTCATCTTCTGTTTAATTGTTTGAGATTGAATGTGTACAGAATGTCCATATATATCATGCCTTTGTGATTGAATTGAATGTGTTGTACAGAATGTCCATATATATTAGGCCTTCTTTGGTTGCTTTCTAATTTTGTATTGAGTTACTTGTTATAATGTTATTTCTTGTGCTAATTACTAGTTAGGTTTCTAATTTCCAGCATCTGTCTTTTTGGTTTCTGTTGATTTGGTTTCTAGTTTCCATGGCTAGTCAAGGAAATGAAGCCAGTCAAGGAATGAAGCCCCTCAAACTGAACAAGCAAGTAACGATGTGGGTATTGGTAGTGAAGAAAGTGACAAGGATACATCAGCGTCTAGAAAGCGGAAAGCACCTGCCCTTCGATCACCGCATTGGGTCGGATACTCGGTGTTATTAGTTAAAGAAGGAAACCCACCGGTTGAAGTTCGTAAAGCAAAATGCAATCGTTGTGCAATTACCATTGCTGTTGGAAACACCCATGGCACCAATGGCTTGAAGAATCATAAGTTCTCTTGTGACAAGAAACATTTGGAGCAACTTAAACAAACAACTCTGAGTTTGCAGCCTAGTGCCTCCGGGGACGGAGCAGGGGGAATATCAACTTGGCGATTCAATCAAGAAGAATCACGGTTAGCTTTTGCAGAAATGATTATGCTTGACGAGCAACCGTTCAGATTTTGTGAAAGGGAGGGCTTTCGTCATTTCATGTCTCGAGTTTGCCCCATGTTCAAAATCCCAAGTAGGAAGACAGTGAGGACAGATTGTGCAAAGTTGTTCATTCAGAGAAAAGATAGCTTGAAGTCCTTCTTTAAAATTAAAGGCATGGGAAGGGTTTCAATCACAACAGATTGTTGGACATCTTTGAAGAATGATAATTATATAACTATCACAGCTCATTTCATCTCCAGAAGTTGGCAGCTCCATAAGAAGATTATATGCTTCAAGAAGATCACTAGTCATAAAGGGGAGGACATTGCACAAGCGGTGCTGACGTGTTTGAATGAGTGGGATTTGAAGAATGTACTTTGTTGCACAGTTGATTATGCTTCGGCTAATGATGCAGCTATTCGCCATATGAAGGAGAAATTTGAAGAATGGGGGACAAGCATTTCAGGGGGGAGATACCTACACATGCGTTGTGTAGCCCATATCACTAATTTGGTTGTTTCTGATGGCTTAGATGAGATTGGGGTATCAGTGAGAAGGGTTAGAGAAGCTGTGAGGTGGATTACTGCCTCGCCATCTAGAGAAGAGACATGGAATAGAGCAACCAAGAGCATGAACATCCAGTGCAAGAGATCACTAAGTCTTGATGTACCAACAAGGTGGAACTCAACATATCTAATGTTAGAGTCCGCTGAACCATTCGAGATTGTTTTTCCAGTTTATGCAGGGATGTTGCCTGCATTTGAGACTGAGTTAAACAAAATCATGCACCGTGATGAGGTTGTTGGTCCACCTGGACCGGAGGATTGGGAAAATGTGCGTTGGATGATGGAATACTTGAAGAAGTTCTATGATTTGACTTGTCTTGTCTCTGGCACCTCCTATGTGACATCTCATCTATTCTTCAAAGAGATGTGTGATATATTTGATCACATAGCTAATGTGGAAAAACATCAAGATCCTAAGGTTAGAACAATGGCCGTACGAATGAGGTCAAAGGTTGCTAAGTATTGGTATGAGGAAGCAATGGGTAACTACAGGATGAACAAGATCCTATACATAGCTGCGGCTTTGGATCCACGACAAAAACTGAAGCATGTCCAAAAATGTTTGAAGAAAGTTTACGGAGTGGAAAGGGCGGCTTCGATGGTGGCCGAATTGAAAGAGTTGTTTTCTGAACTCTTTGAGTATTACAAGAATTTGTTGCTTCCACCTCGTCCAAGGATGAACTCCAACTCTCAAGACTCTTCTACACATTCTCGGAGTCAGGCTACGGTTAATGTTGATGTAAGAAGGCTATCAAATCGTGGTTCATGTAGTGCTATAGAAGATAGTGATGAGGAAGGAGACGACAATGATGTTTCTGAGTTGACACTCTATTTGACTGAGAGTCAATTCAAGGAGAAGCAACAAGAAGATAATGGTTCAGTTGTGGACTCCTTCGATATTCTTAAGTGGTGGTCAACTCATGGTTTGCGATTTCCTGTTTTGGCTGAAATTGCTCGGGATGTATTGGCCATCCCAATATCAACTGTTGCTTCTGAGTCGGCTTTTAGCACAGGAGGAAGGGTTCTAAACGAGTTTAGAAGTTCTTTGGCTCCCCAGATGGTTGAGGCTTTGATTTGTGGTGCTGATTGGTTGAGAAGCAACAACAATATAATTTTAATCGATGAAGAAGATGTGACTGAATCCGAACAAGAAAAGGAATACCAAGAAGGTATGGGATAGCGATTTACTTTTACTTTTACTTATAAATATTCACTCTAACTAATGCTTGTATGAGTAACTTGTTATTTGTTATTTGTTTAACATAGTATTGCAATCCATTGGAGCACTATCATTTGCTGCTAGTGGAGGGGGAAATTCATCTTCCACAAGTCAGTAGAAGGTAAGAGTATCCCAGGATCTATGTGTTTGATAGCTTAATTGTAACTTTAGTAATCTCTCGTCTCGTGTTAATTAATTTTGCTTCTGTGTTCTTCTTTTACTGTTTCCTTTCTTCTTAACTTTACATATGTGTACAAGTATATATGCATAGAGAGTACTGTTTCCATCTCGATCCTCAAGCTCTGCCATTATATTGATGGAATGAAACGTGCACTGGTGCAAGTTCCTTTTATCTGAAGCATGCCTGCCTGCCGGCCTGGCGGGGGATTAAAACGGTACAGATTTAGAGATGCTTGATTTAGAATCTAATTAAGCAATACTTAATTTGCTGCAGAGTGATGATGGCTTGCAAGTTACGAGAGAGGAAGGTGATGAGAATGCCTGCGTTGGGTTCTCATAAAGTCTCCATCTTTTCGCCACCATCACTGTGAGACCTTCAGATCCTAATCCCAATCAGGAGTCCTCTGTTCCTGCCTCCAATTCACGGCGGCAAACATCCATCTTTTCGCCCTGTTACTACATTGGAAAATGATTTATGAATCTTGAATTTTGTATTTTGTTTAGCTGGACATTCGGCAGTGGGAAAATGCAGTGGGGAAATGGATGTTTTGGATGTTTGGATGCTTTGGGATGTTTGGAATTGGTTGGATTTTGTCTTTTGTTTGTCTTTGGTTCGCTGTTATGCAGTGGGAAAATGGATGCTTTGGGATGCAGCAGTGGGAAAATGTGATGTCATTTAAATTTTAAACTTTGGGTATTTTATGGGTAGTATGGGTACCCGTTATCCGTCCCGCACGGGTAATGGGTACCCGTTTCCCATATGAGTTTGGGATATGGGATGGACTTTGGTCTCCAAATGGGACTGGGTACCCGTTTAAAACGGGACGGGTATCCCGTCCCGTCCCGTTGCCCACCCCTAGTTCTAACCCAAAAGAACCCTATCCACCACATGGCAACGAGGGCGGATTGCATGATTATGGTATTTAGTCACTTGATTAAACCTCTCATATCTGAAAACATCAATTTAATGGAAATGACTGAGATATTTTGGGTAATATGAAAACTTACGAAGTATACAAACCAGATATACAAACAGTACAAACAATACAAACATACAAACTATAACGACAAAACGGGGCAGGATATGATCACTTTCCCCAAGGGTATTTTGTGGCATGACAAAAAACGAATTTATTAATTAATATTTTTGTATTAATTACAGATTGGGAATTAAAAACCCATATTAAATACATACTTTTTTAAATTTAAATCCTACAATAATTACAACTCTCCCTTTCTATCTCTATCTCCCTTTTCCAGCAGCCACTCTACTCCGACCGGCTGACTTTCCGACAGACAGACTTTCTCCAGCGAAATCCTTGAATCAGACTCGCTCCGGCCACCTGCAAAAAAATATCATTCCGTCAGTACGCTAGTTGTACGCTACTAGTACCACTGGTACCACTACCAGTCCAGAGCTTGTGGTAGCGTACCAGTTTCATTTGGTACCAGTAACATCCGGTACCTGGTAGTGGTAGCGTACCACTATCATTTGGTATCACTAGTTCACTACCATTTGGTATATGGTAGTGGTAGTGTACCACTAACACTACTATTACGTAGAAACTATCACTAGTCACTGGTGCGTGCCAGTGAGCAGCGGTACCACTACCATTGGTAGCGATACCAGTGATAGTGGTAGCGTACCACTAGAGAATGACACAAAAAAACCAGATATGAAATCTGAAAAATCCCAGATCTGAAAGAAAAAAAAAAACTGGAGATGATGAGGCTTGACAAGGGGTCATAGTTAGAGGTGGCAATTTCCAATCCACTCTACCAATTCATCCACTCAAATATCCAACTAATCCAATCCATTTTATTCAAATCCAATTGGATTGGTGGATTCATGGATTGATCCATAGATCCAAATGGAACTTATATGCATCGCGCCCTCAACCAGAAGATCCCCTAGTCGGAGTGCCTTAATCCCCGATCGGGGATCTCAAGACGAGGCTAGGTATTCCTGCATGGCTCTGTGAGTTGTTGCGCTGCATTTTGGGTAAAACGTAGTCTGGCTTCCAAATACCCGACCGGGTAATCAGGCCAGAGATGCTATTACAAGCTGAACACGGGATATTGAAGGGTATTCGTTCTTGAAGCTAAACAGAGGTTTAGAGAGCGAAAGTGATGAAGACAAAACCTAGAGTGCCCTAGATCAAGTC